ATGCTCGCAGTTTCTTCACCTCAGTCGCACTAATTTCGATCTTGTCTTCCATTTTTCATCATAATCTGGATTAACCACAACTACCGTGAACTGTGCCTTTAAGTAGAGTGATCATTGCTTTCCCAGTGAAACTGCCACATGGTAGTGAAAATGTACGCACCCGAACTTCGCCTATTTCAGACCACGGCGAGTTGGAGTCCTGCCTTATGAGTAGCAAAGGAAAACGATTGAAGTAAGTTCATTCCTCTTCATTCACGTTTAGTGACCCAATTCCTCTTTTTGCAGTATTAGCCCATCAGAAAACGACACCTCTGTGAAAAAGCCGAAGCGACAGAAAGATTATTATTGTGCAGTGTGCGGCTGTTTTCGTCCAGCAGAAGATTGTCGTGAAGCATCATTGCCCGACCTTTTGATAGTGATGGCATGCATGGCAATGGACTATAAAATTGATGTACATACTAAGGCAAAACTGGGTGAAGAGATTTTGTATGGGTGGAGGTTTTTGTGTAAGCAGCACTATATTGAAGCGGTAAGTTCACGTTATCATTTATCATATGCGATCTTTTTAACAAGTCTTTGCTGATCTATCTTTATAGGCAACCTTTATTTACTGTGATGTAAAACAAAACGGAGAAAGTCTGTCCGAAAGAGATTTTACTTCTCTTAGTAATCTTACGAAGTACAGTTTGTGTGAACGTATTGAGCAGTACTGTGATCTTATCGATGTGAGTACCATTTGATAAATGTCAACTCGGTTTTTTCGTTCTAAATAGAGATTCAGACCAGACTCGTTGTAAGGGATGACGAGATGTCGTGTTTTTTCAATGACTGTCAAACGAGATACAACATTAAGCAGATTGCAGAAGAGCATAGTGCAACTGAAAGTAAAGAAGAGAGAATGCAGGTATGGTTGACTTTACTTTTGGGAGTTTCTGAAAATCTATTTCCGCTTTCTTTTTCAATAGTCTTTGGTAAATTTAAGGCGTCTGTTGCCTCAGTGGTTGATGAAGTAATTGCGCAATCTTCCTTTCTGAATACTTCTCGATCAACAACCGAAGGCTTCTCTATTATGTCTGGTACGTTTAGCAGTTCAATCCTTGAGTGTTTTATTTCGTTTATGCTTTACGAGTTGTTCTTTCATTGCAATTTATTTGCTTTTGCAGTTAATAGAGTCAAAAATTCAGGCCTGGGCAAGGCATGTCCTCATGCTCAGCCAGAACTCTTGTTTTCAATTCTGTGGTTTCTACCATCTTGTGAATTGGGTGCCTGTTCGTAGTTTACACATGTGATGCTTTCTTCTCTCTTCAAAACTATAAGCTGCATTTTGGTGCCAGCTTCGATGTCATTACTTTAAATGCCACCATTCCATCAAAAGTATTTTCAAAGCACCGTTCCTTTGACAATCAACGCATCTTATACCTGAGCGATTCTATCAGTGCGAACTTTCAATCTCTTGTTAGGCTTATGCATATGCTTTAAACTTTTGCTTATATCAATGACGCCTTCATTTTATTAAGTTGAGTCATAAGTTCTCTGACAAAATGATAGTGATGACTTCTAGAGATCATAAATCGGGAAAGAGGAGACGAAAATGGACGCACGTGGCATTGTTAGATAGAGTATGAAAAGCTCTTCGAAAAACAAACACACCTAACTGGTGTACTCGTTGGTATGTATTTGGAAGAACTTTTTATACTCTATCTAACGATGCCTCGCGCGTTCATTTTCGTCACCTCTTTCCCGAGTTATGATCTCTAGAAGTCATCACTATCACTTTGTCCGAGAACTTATGACTCAACCTAATATTTAGCAGGCGAAAGCGAGACTTCTGCGTTGTGGAGCAACCGTGGAATGGACCAAACCAAGTGGGAATTTTAGAGTTTTTCTTTTCAGTTGTGATAGAAAATGTTCACTGTTGCAGAAATGATACATGGTTAAGCAGTGTAGTGGAATTTGGTTGCCCTGACTCTTCAAATCTGCGCAAGAAGTTGGAAGTATGTCATAGAGTGACCACGAACGCAAAAAGAGCTCAACGTTGTGGGATTTGTGATCAGACCAGATCTGTGGATAGCCTTCGGAGGATGACGTCGACTAGAAATCTGAAAGTCATACTTCTATCACTGTTGTTGAAGCAAAACCTGATTGCTGTCACAGTGGCAAAGCAGGCTTATAAGAGCGGTTCTGGTTTATACGTCTGTCATGAGCATTTCATTCAAGCGGTAAGTGATGGCTTCCACAATATGCTCATTCTGTTCTCTAGTAGCGCAGATGCAGAGAAATGCAAAAAATATAACCAGAAAGTTTTCCTACTTTTTGCTTGGTTTCAGGCTCCTCCAATTTTCAGTGATTGAATTCTCAGCATGTCCTACACTGAAATAATTTTATCTGCTCATTTACTAATTGTGACTTTGCAGGGTGCTTTTCTTGTCTCCAAATTTGAGGAGAAGTTCGGCGGTTTTGATATGTTAGGTCTGCGTAAGCTTCTTGACAGTTTTGTTTCCGACATGGTGCACACCATTAATTTATTTGGAGAACTTATAACGGTAAGTATTAGAGACTTAAATTTTGTTGAGTCCCTTCATAAATTCTGTTCAGGATACTGCGAAACCAAAAGCTCCTGATATTCACATATTTCTCAATGATTACGATCGGAGATACCGGAAAAATATTGACTGGATAATAATAGAGATACCTATGGGAAACACGAATGATGCGACCGTAAGATAGAGTTTCTTGTTTTTTTCCGGTCCTTTTCATCAATTTTATTCCAGGAGCCTTCCTCCGTAAATCCGGCGGAGTTACTATATGCGAAAGACGAAAGTAGTGCTTCTCTAAGTAAGTTTGTGTTGAAGATTGGAATTAATCATGACGATCATTATACTGCACTATATCTGAATGACTAGATGTGTTATGTTGTAGATGTGCTAGTTATCTTCGAAGTAAACTTTCTTTGATTTCTCTATATGTAACGTTATCATTCAGACAAGGATGTGTCGCAAGATGGTTACGAAGAGAAGTTGTTCAGTAGCAAACACGACAATGATGACGCGAGGTGTTTCTTTTACTGGTGTTTTTATTTCATAGTTTATCACCTCACTTTGAATTGTTTGGGGCAGGAGGCTTGACTGAGTTGAGATTCATGGAAATCCGTTGTCTGGACTTGTGTCAGCTGAAGTTGAATCTGAAGCTCTCTTATTTGCAGCCCATGTCTTATCGCTAATGACCAGGAAGATTCAAATGTAATGGATCGTCTTCCAGCAACTCACTCATCAAAGTCTCCTTCCTGCACATCTGGTGAGCTTCATCTTTGTTTCTCATTTACACCACGTTTTCCAGTAGTTTTATGAATGCTTTTATGGACCGTCATTTTCAGAGGATTTTGTTGACGATGAATGCCAGAGCGCTGATTCTCGATTTGAAGCGGAGATGTTCAAAGAAATATCTGTCACAGATCTCTTACATTCAGATAATATCGCTGGAGATGTTCCTGAAGATCATTCGAGTGAGCCAACGTCTAATCATTACACATTTCTTGAAATTGTCCTTGATGAGTTGTTGGCTAGGCTTTTTTACCTGGAAACTAAAGAAGACCGTTGAGAAGAGTTCTTTCCCATATTCTTCCAAAAGCACTCTTTCGAAAGGGATGGACAAAATTTACAGTGCATATTTTGGACTCCGAAGGCTCCATCTTCCGCGGCTTCGGCTTAATATGAGAAGTACCTAAAACTATTGAGTTGCTGCTGGGTATGATTGATTTACTAGATTTCCAATTCGGATTTCCCATCACAATACTTTTCTGAAGTTCTGCCGAGTGAACTTATTTCTTCGGCCTTTTGTTCTCTTTAGCAGTTCTGTAACTATTGGAAGGGTTTCCTCTAGAACTACCATTTTAACGATTTTTTATTGTGTTGAAGTATTAAGCCAAGTGTTATTGTTCTGTTTAGAAGAAATATCCATGCTTGTAAATGGCAACATCAAAGCTGAAGAACAAATCGGCGTATCAGATCTGGATCGGGACTGTGACGAAGAAGGAAGGTGATCACTTTTTTTATCAAACGCGAGAAGCGAAATTGTTTGCAATGAGATCACGAATTTTCTATGCTAGAGAGCCTAACTTTTTTTAGATTTCTTGAGCAAAAAAATCCTTATTCTATGGGATCCTGAACTTTGGAGGAGAGGCAGATGAAATTAGTCGACTTCGGTTAGCCTAAATAGACCTGTCATGCTCTAAGCCATGCATACGGAATCGTGGCATTCTTGGATTGCCTCTAGCCCAATTAATATTTGCTAGAGATGGCTAAACTGCATGTCAGGGCTTTTCACGGTTTGATAGCAATACGGTAATCGTGGTTGGAGAAGGGCTCGGTATATCGGGACGGATCAGGGCCATTGAAGAGCATCGCCGGTGTTTCCTCCCCACTCTCATACAGATCATAAAAAATTCTCAATCTTTCTCTGCGATCTCTAAAAAGTTTGCAAATTTCAGGTTTGATGACGAGGATTCGGAGTACATTGAAGAGCTTAACGATGGAAATATGGAAAATATGGATGGAAAAAGCGACAGCGTTCAAGAGGAACTTCTCCGAAGATGTACTCAAAGACTTGGGAAGAAATCGAATTCCTTGGTGTCCTGGAAAGTGCCGAGCACCTCAACGAGCCAAAGTCGAATGGTTCCTTTGAAACAGACGCCGACGGTAGAAGCAAAACGCAAGGAAAGGGTTGCACCCATCTCATCACTGTTTGGCGTATCTTCCCGAGAACTTTTATCTCATTTTCGTATAGGCGATGACAGCAAAGGAGCTCTGAGCAGAGAACAAATCCTTAAACGTTATGTGACATGCTCATCGTTACTCTTGAGGAACAAAAGAGAGCCGTTTGTAGATCGGTTGATCACTATGGGTGAGAAATGGCTGTTCTGCAACACTAAAGACGATCTAAGACTCTTCGAATGTCAACCTGTGCTACTTCGCGTGTGGTGGTCGGCGAGTGGCATTCTGTACCATTCGTTCCATCGCGCAAATGAAGCAAAATCCGAGGAGATTTACATCAGCCAAATTGAACACGTTCACAAAGAACTCTCCAAGGGATTGCCCGACGACGAAAATCTTCTAGTGGTCCTCCTTCATGATAATACGAAATCATTTTTGACACGAAACTCTTTAGCACAGCTTTTTAAGCATAACTTTGAAGTGCTATCATATCCTTCCCATTCTCCCGATCTCTTACCTTCGAGTTTCTATTTCTTCAAACATCTGAACGATTTTCTATCTGAAAGGCAGCTTATTGATAGAAATGATGTAGAATTTGCTGTGTTTACCTTCATAAAATCAAGACCCCCAGAATTCTATCAAACCGGTATCGATGAACTTGTATTGCGATGGCAAAAATGTGTTGATGTCAAGGGACACCTCTTTCCTGTGAAATCAACACCTTTATCCTTTGAATGATTTTTATTCTCACATTGATTTGGTGATGTATGTGTATATGAAAGCTTAATTTTTCAATTTTTGTTCTTTTATGAAATAAGGCTAACGTGAGCCTGCCTACACTTGGGCTGCCTGTGTGACACTGATGCGCATAGGCGAAGTTGTGGTCGTATCTAAAATCAGTTTTATCGCCTACTAGCTACTGTCGGGCTCAGGTCCCTTTCGTGTTAAACATTACCCACATTTTTCCAAATGATTTAGACGTTCTGACCTAGTTCACTTCGTTCGTCTTACCGATTTCTGGTCAAACATGCACACGCTCCGGAACACTTCGTACATGTCCCGCCCTCGGGAGGCGGAGCCCAGTCTTGCCACCTGCTAAAAGGGTTCCCATCTT